TCTGTTTGATTTTTACTTTTTCTGAAGGAGGATTGAAACGTGGAGTTTCTTTCTCTACCATTTTGGTTCTGGTGCACTCTGAATCTTGGTTTTTTTATTCAATCTGACAATATCTGCCTTTCTTTGGGGTGCTTAGAGAATTTATTTTTAATGTGAATACTGATATGGCTTGGTTTAAATATCCCAAATTGTTATTTGTTTTCTTTTATTCAATTTCCTCTTCCTCCTTTCCATCTCCTTTTTAATTAATTCAGTATTATTTATGATTTTATTTTATAATCTTAATTCGCTTATGAACTATACTTTTTTTCCAGTGTTTGCTTTAGGATTTATAGATACATCTTTAACTTATTATGGCCTACCTTCAAAATATTATGCTACTTCATGTATAAGACCATTAAAACAATATACTTTCATTTCCCTTTTCATGTCCTTTGTTTCACTGTTATCATGCATTTTAGTCTTATCCTTATTATAAATTGCACTGTATTTTGAAATTATTTCTGATTTAAGTGGTCAATTATCTTCTAACATAGTTTGAATAAAAAATATTTTATAGTTACCCACATACTTATCATTTCTATTGTTTCTCATTCATTTGTGTAGATCTAGATTTCCAGCTGGTGTCATGTTTATTTTGCCAAAAGGATATCTTTTAATATTTCTTGCAGTGCAGGTTTGCTTGTAGTAAAAATTTTTTTTTTACTTTTGTATGTCTGAAAAAACTATTTTGACATTGTTTTTGAGATATATTTTTTTCTGGGTATAGAAAGTTTTTTTTTTTTTTCTTTTAGTACTTTAAAAATGTTGCTTTGTTATCTTCTAGCTTGTTTGTTTCTGATAAGAAATCTGGTGTCATCGTTTTCTTTGTTCCTCTGTATGTAATGTGTCCTTTTACTCTGACTACTTTTAAGATTTTCTCTTTATCTCTGCGTTTGAGCAATATTCTTATGATGTGCCTTGATGCAGTTTTAGTCTTGTTTCTTTTCTTGGGTTCATTAAGTATCTTTGATCTGTGAGTTTATAGTTTTCATCACATTTGGAAAAATTCACACATTTTTTTCCAATAATTTTTGTCCTCACTTCTGTCTCCTCTCCTTTGGAGATTCCATTACGTGTATATTAGCCCCATTGACATTGTCTCTCAGCTCACTGATGCTTCAGTATTTTTTTCCAGTACCTTTTTTTCTGTTTCCTTTTGGATAGTTTCTACTGCTATGTCTTCAAGTTCACTGATCTTTCCTTCTGCTGTGTCTAGTCTGCTGTTAATCCCATCAATTGACTTCTTTTTTTAAAAAAAATCTTAAATGTGACTTTGCAATCACTTTCAGATTCCTTAACTATTTTTATTTTGTTGGAAGTTAATTCTCTTGTTTGGAAGTATATTTCATATCTTTTTTAGATAGATGAAGTTTCCCTCATGTGATTTGAAATTTTAGTTTTTGACCTCACCTTGTGTGGCTGTATTTTTCTTTCTACACTTAGCCCAACCTGTCTAAAGCTTTGCTATTGTTTTCAGTCAATATCCAGGGTCTCTCAGTCTCAGAATGGTGATTCAGGGCTCCTATCCTCAGTGTGATATTCAGGTCCTGTCCTGGCATCTCTGCTGCTTGAGCAGTAGTTGCAGCTGTTTTTGCCTCTCATCACTGCTTCTTTGACAAGGCCTGGTTGGTGGATCCATTCATGTAGAGGCTATTTTGGTCTCTGTTACTCTGAGGACATTGGATTTAAGCTACCTCTGCCTCTTGCCAGGGCTGTGAACCTCAAAGACAATTGTTTCATGTAAAGCTTTACCAGAGTGTGTTTCTTTTTATTTTTGATCATGGTTATATATTTTTAAATGAAACCTTTTTATTTTGTGAGATATAGCTGCTATGTGTTTGGGTTTATGGGTAGAGTGGATGGATTTAAACCATGAACTGAAATCACAATCTTGACTGTATCTCATGTTTTACTTTTCAAGGGTTACCAAGTAAATTAGCTGTTAAAGGCCAGAGTGACATGTTGAATTACACTTGTGATGAAGAAATTCTCTTAGCCCAGCAATAGAGATGAATGAATTATGTGTAAAAATCTACAAACTCGTAAGTTATTGTTTTTCTGGAAAACTGCTTTCTAGATTCCACTTTGAAAATAAAATTTATAAGTAATATATCAGTGCCTACAGAAATTACAAAGCATAATTTAGTTCAGTAACTCCTATTAGAAGGTCCTATTAGTTACAAAATACAGTACAGTTCTGTTATCACATAATATTATTCAAAATGCTACTGTAATTTTATGTATGATTGACATATTCAATTAACTCAATATTGCAAAATTTTGCATGTGATTATCTGAAATATTTTGTAATACTTTGCTCCTTGTTTTTATTTTTAAATAAGTGTACTGGAGATGAAAAAGTCTGATAAGATCTAACTAAAAATAACTATTCATTTCAGAATATTAAAGTTGCTATGATCGAGTCACCTGATTTCAGTCACCAGGCCATTCTACCAGTCTGACCTCTTCCAAAATATGATGGGGGATTAGCCAACATGTCTCTGAAAAAAAAAAAGAGGCTAAATTCTAATATTTTAATTCTTAGCTCATGTCTGAGTTCCCTTCATACCAAAGTTTATGTTATTTCCCTATGTTGCCACGTGACAGGGATATTTCACACACTTTAATGCCATTATGATTAAGCCTATTACCTGAGTAAGCTCTCAGAATCAGGCTCATATATAGGTCAGCCTATGATGTTCCAGGTCATGTGCCTGACTTTTACGCCAACTAAGATATTCCTAGAAGTAACATAATAGTGCCTAATTACTACTTTGTGCTTTGTATTCCCTCAGATTTCTCTTTTGCAGTCAGTATTTATGTGTATGTTGTATGCCGTACCATTTTGCAGTTGTTAGTACTGTTTGGTGATTGTTCCAATGTTTATTTTAGGAGTGTGTTTTATCTCTCTAACAAGACTGCATGCTTCTCAGGAGCAGGTCTTTTGTTTCCTTTATAATTCCTGGTTGTTACTGATTGAATTGTGAACTCCCAAAATATGTGTTGGAATTCTAACCTCTGTACATGTGGAAGGAGCCCTGGTGGTGCAAGTGTTAAGTACTTCACTGCTAACCTAAAAGTTGGCAGTCTGAACCTACCTAGCTGCTCCATGGAAGAAAGACCGGGCAATACGGTTCTGTAAAGATTACAGCCTAGAAAAAAACCCCATGGAGCAGTTCTACTCTGTCACATGGGGTCTCTATGAGTAGAAATTAACTTGATGGCACACAACAACATACCAATAGATGTAATGTAATATAATGTAATGTAATCACCATTCATCATGCAAGCTAAAGTAATGTAATAACCTTGTATAGTGCAATTTAATGTAATAACCTTATACAATACAATTTAATGTAATCACTTTCCATAATGCAATGTAGTGTAATCAATTAGTCAGTTGAAGCCATGCCTGTGTAGGGTGGAGCCTAAACCCAATCACTTCTGAGTTAAGTAAAGAGCAGCACAGACACAGACTCACACACAGGGGAAAGACAGATTCAAGAACACCAAGGAATGCCAAGAACCTCCCTGGACTACTGACAAGGAAAGACCCTCCCCTAGAACCACGCCCTGAATTCAGATGCCTAGCTTCCTGAATTGTGAGAAAATAAATTTCTGTTTGTCTTAGTCACCTAGTGCTGCTCCAACAGAAATACCACAAGTGGATGGCTTTAACAAAGAGAAATTTATTTCCTCACAGTCAAAGTAGGCTAAAAGTCCAAATTCAGGGCATCAGCTCCAGGGGAAGGCTTTTTCTCTCTGTTGGCCTTCTTCTCTTTGGTGTTCCCCAGGACTAGGAGCTTCTCTGTGCAGGGACCCCAGTCCGAAGGACGCGCTCTGCTCCCAGCACTGCTTTCTTGATGGTATGAGGTCCCCAACTTTCTGCTTGCTTCCCTTTCCTTTTATCCCTTGAGAGATAAAAGGTGGTGCAGGCCACAGCCTCGGGAAACTCCCTTTACATTGGATCAGAGATGTGACCTGGGTAAGGGTGGTGTTACAATCCCACCCTAATCCTCTTTAACATAAAATTACAATCACAAAATGGAGGCCAACCACACAATTCTGGGAATCATGGCTCAGCCAAACTGACACACATTTTTTGGGGGACATAATTCAAACCATGACACTGTTCTTTAAAACCACCCACCTGGGGTATTTTTGTTAAAGCAGCACTAGGAAACTAAGGCACTGGTACAGAGCTCTGAAGAGAGGAGATACTGAAATATCTTTTTATAACCAGAATTATGGAAGAAAAATGAAGAGTGAGTTCATCAAACAACTTGTAAATTATGGTAGGATGAAATTTTATCATTTTATTTAGATAATACCACTTATCAATAATCTAGCAAAACTATCTTTCCTATAAAATTCATAGTATCACAAAAGGAAAAATAGAAGAATATTCTAAATATTGTGCTGGAATATATTTGTATTTTTTATAAATTCATGAAAGTAAATGAAGATAATATTGAGGCATATTTACTTTTAAAGGCACACAATTATTTAATGGTGGTTTTTAATCTACTCATGGAGAATCCTACTGGATCATAATCTGTACTTAGTATAATTCATGCAGAACATAATACTATGAAACTATTTGCTCTCCAAGCTTAGATAATTTTAAATACTTAAAAATAAGTGAAGTTAAATTACTTTGCACTAATTTTTTAGTGAAGGTTTTCATTTCTAAAACCTTTAGTTTATGAGGGTCCCTATTACTAAGGACACCAAAATCAGACCTGAAGCACATGAAGCACATGAAAATGGAGCTTTTTTAGAATGTAATATCAGAGATAAGTTACACAACCTAGTCAAACTTTTAATGCAAGTTATATCATGAATGTTTGCACATGTATATGCTCTAAGATAGCTCCTGAAAAATTTATCAAATTTCTATGTTTAACCATTATTATTCATAAAGCAGAAATTATTTAAATATCTCACTACTTACTTACCATTCTGGAGTGTATTTCTTTGGCATACAATGGGAATAAAAATTCTGATTCCCCTTCTAGGCGAAGTCCATCTTTCTTTACTTGCAAATGACCCATTCCTGTCTGTTAGAAAGATGAGACAATGGAGGTTTTTTTTTTTTTTTTAATTGCTCTCATTTTTCACTTCTCTTAGTATCAGCTTAAATTATGCATGTATTTTTATAGATTTCCTTACAGGTACTTTTCTCTATATCTCCTAAATACCTTATTTAAAACTTTAGTTGTTTTTATTCAATATTCAGTATTTTATTAAATATCGTGTAAATACAAGGGACTATTTAGAAAATACATGTACGATCTGAAGAATCATTTTACAACAGATACCCAAGAAACCACTGCCCAGTTTAAGAAAATGAATCTTACTTAAATGTAACACTTTTAAGTTATTTAAAAGATTTTAAAATACAATGAAATTGACCTTTTGTGGGGCATACAGATCTATGAAGGAGCCCTGGTGGTGTAGTGGTTAAGTGCTCAGCTGCTAACTGAAAGTTCAGTGGTTTGAACCCACCAGCCGCTCGGCCAGAGAAAGATTTGGCAGTCTGTTTCCATAAAGATTACAGCCTTGGAAAGCCTATAGGGCAGTTCTGCTCTGTCCTATAGAGTCGCTATGTGTTGGAATTGACTTGCTGGCAATGGGTTTACAGTTCTGTGAGTTTTAACACATGTATAGATTTGTGTGACCACCATCACAATCAGGATATTGAATAGTTCCATTACCCTAAAAGTACCCTAAATACCTTTTTTAAGGCTTTAAGTACATCATTTCAGTTCACTTCTTAAGTGAAAAGCAATATAGGAGAATGTAGAGTTCTATTCAAGGTGCCTGATGTCAGGCAGTTAGTTTACAACAATGAACAGTTGCCAGACAGGATAGAAGACATAATTCTGGAGGGCACCATGACATCCATGTTATTAAATCTTCTGAACATTTTCCAAATCTCATTCTTTTTGAACCCTCAGCAGCATTCAGCACTCTTGCCCCTGCCTCCTCGGAACAGTGTCCTCCCTTGGTTTCCTTGATACCGAGCTCTTTGAGATTTCCTCCTACTTCTGTACCCACTTTCTCAGCCTCATCGTTCTCTCCCGAGCCTTTGAATGCTGGCACCCTCAAAGCTCAGTCCTAGGCCCTGTCTTGTGATCACTCCAGAGTAACAACCTAGGCTCCCACTACCATCTCTGTGCAGAAGACTCACATTTTTATCTGCTGCTTAGATTCTCTCTTCTGAGCTCCATACCCATGTATATGATTGCCTACCTGCCATCCCCTTTCCACTGTCTCAAAGGTCCTTAATTCAAGAAACTAAACTTTGATCTTCCCTCTTTTTTCAGGATAGAGGGAAAAGAGGATTTTAAAAAAAGGGTGGGGGAGATGAAACAAAGACATTCAGGGACATTTTATATAGTGACGTGAATTTACAGTACAGAGATAATAGAGGGATTTGAAGTGAACTGGTTCCCTCTCTCCCTACAAGTACCCCAACCCAGTTAGCACTGTAGGAGAGGAATCCACTTATACCCAAAAAAGGACCTGCTTAATCTTCCCAAATTACCCATGTGCATTTTCTTCTCACTACGTGGGCATGCCGTGGCTCAGGAGTCAGCAGATGTGCTGCCACCTTAGGTTAGGTCCTGGGTTCATGCCACTGCTGCCTCTGGCTCCCACTGGGCTGCCCGGAGTCCAAACAGCTCCCATCAATTGTGCTGTGCCGGCCTTCTCTACCACTAGGCTACTTTGGGCCTGCCCATCAGTTCTGCTGCTGTCTCTCTCAATGTTCATTGTCATCAGCTCAGTGTTACAGCCCTTGACCCGTACTTTGCTGTTGTTAGGTGCCATTGAGTTGGTTCTGACTCATAGTGACTCCATGTACAACAGAAAAAAACACTGCCTAGTCCTGCACCATCCTCACAATTGTTGTTATGCTTGAGCCAATTGTTGCAGCCACTGTGTCAATCCATCTTGTTGAAGGTCTTCCTCTTTTTCGCTGACCCTCTGCTTTACCAAGCATGATGTCATTCTCCAGGGGACTGAGCCTTCCTAATAACATGTCCAAAGTATGTGAGACGAAGTCTCACCATCTTCACCTCTAAGGAGCATTCTGGCTGTACTTCTTCCAAGACAGATTCATTTGTTTTTCTAGCAGTCCATGGTATATTCAATATTCTTAGCTAACACTATAATCCAAATGCATCAATTTTTCTTGGGTCTTCCTTATTCATTGTCCAGCTTTCGTATGCATATGAGGTGACTGGAAATACCATGGCTTGGGTTAGATACCCCTTAATCCTCAAGGTGACATCTTTGCTTTTTAACACTTTAAAGACTTCTACAGCAGATTTGCAACAATATTTTCAATAAAATGCCCTTTTGAGTTGTGGTACCCATGTCAAAGCCCTATATGAGTTTCACGATTCTAAGAATTTAAAAGATGCACAATTTAATTGAGGTCAAGTGTTCATTGTTAAATAAATTTAGAATAATTTATATTAGGATCCTGTTCTGGGTTGTATTGTGACTCCACAAAAATACGTGCAAGCCCTAATCCTGGGTACCTGTGAATGTGATGTTATTTGGAAATAGGATCTTGGTAGATGTAATCAAGTTGAGATGAGGTCATACTGGATTAGGGTGGGTCCTAATCCAACGACTGATATCCTTAAAAAATGAGGGAAATTTGGACACACAGAGACACAGGGAAGATGGCCTTGTGAAGAGAGAAGCAGATATTGAAGTGGTGCCATCTACAAGTCAAGGAACACCAAGGATTACTGGCAGACACCAGCAACTAGAGGATGCAAGGAAGGATCTTGCCTTAGAGCCTTCAGAGTGCATGGACCTGCCAAAAACTTGGTTTCAGACTTCTGGACTCCAGAACTGTGAGAGAATAAATTCCTATTGTTTTAAGACACTGAGTTTGTGGTACTTGGCTACGTTAGCCCTAGAAAACAAGTACAGATTTTGGCATTGAGACTGAGGTGCTGCTATAACAAATACCTATAAATGTGGAAGTGGCTCTGGAATTGGGTAATTGGTAGAGCCTGGAAGAGTTTTCAGTCTAACCACCAAATATTCAATGACTGACTGGCCCCTGAAACACCAAGATCCATTATACACAGCACATTGCTACTGTAAGTGCTTAGTATATATATTTTTATTAATAGTTTAATAATTGTTACTACTTCAGTTTTCACAAGCCTTGGGAGATAAATAGTGCATAGTAAGCCATTTTGCATTTTAGTTTGTATTATATATTGTTAGTTTTTGTAGAGTCAAATCTGAATCACAGCGACCCCATGTGTTACAGAGTAGAACTGCTCCATAGGGTTTTCTTGGCTGTAATCACTATGGAAGCAGATCGTCAGGCCTTTCTTCCACGGTCCTGTTGGGTGGGTTCAAACTGTCAACCATTAGGTTAGCAATTGAGTGCAAGCCGTTTGCATCACCCAGGGACCTTTTGTATTGTATAATGGTGATTCTAAACACTTTAAACCTTATTATGCTTTCATAATTTCACACCAGCATTTGATAGCCATTATAAAATAAATTCAAACACAAATTTCTTTATCTTTAATTATTTTAATAGTTCTTCTTTGCTTGCATCAGGTTTTTTCTTTTTCAGTCACTTCTGGTAGTTTGCTAATAATTTTTCATTTTTTTCTGGGATGTTGGTGTCAATTTGAGGCATCAAATGTAAACTGTTCTAGTTCGTAAAATTTTCTTTCCCTTAGAAACAGGAAGAATGATTTCATGAATAACTATTTCAATTTTTTTATCTGACTATATTCTAAAACTTTGCTATAGGTCAGTGAGATAAATTTCTTCTTCTGTGAAAAGATCTGTAGAAAACTTCCTCTCAATTTTACAGTGATCCTGGTAGTTGAACTGCAGACAGGGGATTCTTAGAAATTATCAGAAAGCCTAAAGTAAATACATATTGTTAAAAGGCAGATTCTAGGAATAGTCAATGCTTGCCTTACCTATTTTCTAATACCCACAAAGAGACTCACTTCTCATTTCTCTTTCCCTAGTAACTTCAATATTTTGAGAGATTTTTGACTTTTCTTTCTTATGACTTGTGCAGAAGACTGGACATTCAATTTTCATATTCAACACAAGAAAGGATAAAGACTGGTCAAGGTAGTTCTCTAAACTGTGAAGATTAGGAATATGTGAGACTCTAGAAATATGTATGGAAACCACTTCTGGGTGTACTTTGTTGAATGAAATTGCTATTTCCCAATATTTTGCAATAGAAGCAAATTTAATTTCAACTGAATCATATCTTCTAATTAACTTTCAGAACAAAGTAAAAAATATATTCTTTCCCAGACACAAAACATGCCTATAATACAACTGTAGTTATAAATACACAAAATTCCCTGAAGATCACTCATTTGATAGAAAACTTGTTTTCTGATAAATATGAATAGCTCTACTCAGACACTACAAATAGTCCTAGGAATGGTCCAAAATGCCATTTAATTAAAAAACTATAAGTGAAAATATACAATGTATAAAAATGCAGGCAGTGTTATAATAAATCTTATTTTGGCTCATCATTTTCCCAACTGGAATTCTTTAAATTTTTTTAAATTGTGTTTTAGATGAAGGTTTACAGAGCCAGTTAGTTTCTCATTAAACTATTAATACACATAATGTTTTGTGACATTGGTTGCCACCCCTACATATCAACACTCTCCCCTTCTCGACCTTGGGTTCTCCGTTACCAACTTTCCTGTCCCCTCCTGCCTTCTCATCCTTGCCCCTGGGCTGGTGTGCTCACTTAATCTCATTGTGTATTATGGGTCTGTCTAATCTTTGGCTGATGGGTCAGCTTCAGGAGTGACTTAAACCTCAGTACTGAGTAAAAAGGGAGTCCAGGGGCCGTACTCTTGGGGTTTCTCCTGTCCAAGCAGAATTCTTAATAACTGAAAGCATAGTAATTTCTTTAGACTCAAACAGATGCACTCTTTTCAAAAAAGTAATGTTCCCCCCATTAACCATCATTCAAATGTATTGGTATATTTGTATGATAAAAGCACCAAATAACTTATATTAAAAC